GATGCTCCATGGCACCCTCCAACCTGCACCCAGTGGAAGAGGAGGAAAACTGATTCGTTTCCTCTTTTAAATAGGCTGGAAGCTGCTCTGGCTCCAGCCAGGTTGGGAATGGTGCTGGGAGATGCCTGTGTTGCCCCAGTCTGCCCCAGTGCAATGGGGACAAGGGAGATTGAGGCTGTAGCTGTTCCCCTGCTGGATCGGTGATAAAGGAGCACAGCACACATGGAAATCACGGCTCTGCTTTGCCCAGAATCCTTCCTACTCCTTCCTATTCAGTGTCTGGGGGTCAGGATGGGCCAACCTCCCCCAAGCCTCGTGGAAAACTGTGCTTGAAGCACAGCAGTACCCACAGCTCTGGGGTGAAGCAGCCCTATGGGGGAATTTTCCATGCAGGGAGGTTTGTGGACGTTCCTGGCAACCCCAGCTCCTTTCTGCCTGTTACCTCCCGGCTTGATTAACAGAAGGAAGCACCAAACCAGCACCAAACCACCCATCGGCACTGCAGGATTGCTCCACATTGCACCAGGATGAGCCGGACGGGCTCCAAACCAGAGGATTTATGAGAAGATGGTGGCAAAGCTGGGAAAGGAGCAGCTCAGTTCATTCATCCTGAGGCACCTCCCAAAGTCCAGAGAAACAGCCCCAAACTCCAGTTTCTGCAGGACGGGGCAGCACGTGCCTTTGGGGGTGGTGCATGGAGAAACTCCGCATCGTTCAAGGGGAATTAGGGTCCCCAAAGATCCAGTCCGGATCCCTGCGTGTCCCGCGGATGTGGGGGTTTTGCTGGATTCTTTCCATCCTCGTCTTTCCCCCAGGAAGCAGGGAATGATGTGACCCTTGGCAATTCCCCATCACTCAACATGTGGTCAATGCCGAGAGGGTCTCACTCTTATCCATGTGGGAACTGCATCCAATTAAACTGACCAGTTCTTGTGCAGCTGGAGCATCTGGGAACCACCAAACCACCCTTTTCCTTCCCCAGATGTGACGGTTTTCCTGGTCAATCGCTTCCTGAAAAAACGCTTTTGCTTAAATCATCTGCTTTGGAGCCTGGAATGCTGAGGGATGTTCCCAAGGACCCCAGTGGGTCAGACCCTGAATCCCTCCCAGCCCTGGGGATACTGCTGCTGCTCCCATCCACAGGATGGATCTTTGTTGGAGCTTTGGAAAGGAGCTTTCCTTGCTTTAATGGAGGAGGAATTGGACAGCGAGCAGAATCACAGTGAAATCAATCAGCGTTGTGCTTCCGTCCCAACAGAGTGGTTCGGGAGCAGAGCAGCTTTGCTTGGGAAGACTTGGGAAAAGCAAGAACCGGGAAAAGCAAGAACCCCCCAGCCCCTGCTTGCTTTGGGACGGGCTTTATTTCGATGGGAAAGCACCCACGGCAAGCTCCAAAACCAAACCCGAGATGAAGCCGGGGCGCGTTGCTCGCATCCCCCCCTCACCCCTCGGGGCTCCGGAGCGGCACCTCCGCAGCGCATCAATCCCGGCTGCGGCAGCGGGGCCGGGCCGGGGGGAAGGTGCCCGCCCGCCCCATAAATATCCCCGGGGGCGCCGGGGCTGCGCGGGGCCGGCGGGCGCAGACAAAGCCCCATTGAGCTGCGGGCGGAGGCGCGACGGAGCAGCTGCCGCGGGGCGCGGGACGGGTCAAGGGCAGAGGCGGCCCCCGCCGGGGTTATTCCTCCCCCCGGCCCCTTTACTCGTGGCCATAAGATCAATAAAGTTAACCAGGTACGGCCCTGCCCCTGGAGGGGGGAGCAGCGGGTGCTGATGGGGGTGATGCGGGAGGGGAAACTGAGGCACGGCGCAGGACCCCGGCATCGCATCTGCGCGGAGGGGGCAGCGCTGGTGCCTTTACCCCTTGGGAACCCTTTTGTGCGTCTGTTTAATAACACGCAGAAAGCGAAGCAGACTTGACAGCCCCGGCTCTGTGTTGGAGCGACCCCAGGACCGTGCCGACGCAGCCAGGATTCCCGAGCTCGCCCCAAATCATCCAGCACCCCTGCCCCATGCCAAGGGTTTCTCCGTATGGATGCAGAGCTAGAGCTTCTGGCTGCACATGGGAGCTGCAGCAAGGGCAGCCCCCAGCAGCCCCATCCACCCCCAGGACTGGGGAGTTCAATCCTGCTGCCACCTAAACTTGGGGGTTTAGAATATTTTACTCCCTATTAAGCAATCCCTTAGCAACGCTTGTTTCCATGGCAAAGAGCAGAAAACCTCCATGCTGATGCTGAGCTTTGCTTTCAACCAGAATTCAGCTCATTTGACTTGGGTGCTGCCCCATAAGCCAAGTGCCCAGCACCCGTGGGGGCTGCCCAGCCTGGGGTGCACAATGGGTGCTTGTTCCAGGCTCTAGGCCAGGTTGGGGACACAAAGCAAGGGCAGCGTTCTGGGGAGCAGCAGGTATGCAGCATGAAGAGCTGCTTCCTAAAGAAGGGGAACGTGGAGTGTACCACACCCCCCCAAAACCCGATCTCCATCCCCTACAACCCCGGCTCTGGAGCTCCTGGATGTAAAGGCAGAGCCCAGCTGCAGGGCAGCCCAGGCTTCCCCTATTACACCAAGGAGCCTTTCCTTGCTTCCCTGCATCTCCAAGCCCTAAGGAACGCCAGCAAAGGAGATGCAGGTTACTGGCACAGCACTGGGTGCTGGTGGGTGCTTCAGCTCCAAACTGGATAGAGGGGGGAATGCTTGAGAGCCCGAATTACTGGGGGCTGGCATCATGCAGCCTCACGTTCCCAAAGGGACACGCGAGTCCCTTAAAAATTGGGATTCCTGCAGAAAATCCAGATGGAAAGGGTGTATTTTTTTTTAGTTTCCCCCCAAATTCCCAGTGATGTTCTGTGCTTTGGTAGGCATTTTCAAAGAAATGGGCTTAATTCTTCTATCTCCATCCTCAGTGGGAGGGTGCCATCCACTTGGGAGCGACAGCAGGTTCCTGGGACAGACCTTCCAAAGGGAAATTCCCTGCAGGAATCACCCAGGGTCCCTGTTTTCCACCCTAAAGATCAGCCTTTCTGGGGATGGGAGAGCCTGGCAGACCGGGCACTGCCGGGGTTGCCCCCCTCCATCTCCCTGGGAGGAGGAAGGCAACTGCTCCAGTGGGAGCAAATCCTTGCCTTGAAGGAGCCTTAAAACCTCCCCACTTTGACAGCCCAGAATAGCCTATTTCTGCTTGTTTTCAAGTGCTCACCAGCCCTGATTTATTTATCCTGCTCACTGGAATCCATCTCACACCTTGAATCCCAAATCCTAAAGCAGAATGGAAGAAAACTTGCATCTCTTATTTAGATGCTTTTGCCCTTGTTTAATGGGGGGGGGGGGGATTGTTTCTCCTCACTGAAAGGGTGTCCCCTGCCCCAGCGGTCCTAGGGAGGGCTGAAAACCATCGTGGCATTCTTGTAGCTGGGATTTCCGAGCATCCGGACCATGTGGCTGCTCCACATGGAGCATACCCCAGCCCTGTTTGGAGGAGAGGGGACGGCTGCGGGTGAGCAGAGCCCGCGGGGATCGGTGGGATGAGTTACTGAGCGGTGTGGGAGCGCTCGCTGCAGTGCTGCCGGTGGCATTCCCGTGTTCCTCCCCACCCCATGCCGGTGCCCATCCCTGTGGATGGAGAAGCCCCCAGAATATCCCTCCTCATCCTGGTCTTGTTTCGTGCCCAGGGGAGCGCTGAAAACCAAACTGCAGCTCTTTAAGGTCCCTTCCAGCCCAACCCCGCCTGAGATCCTGTGGGGTTTGGTGCAGAAGGACTCGGGTCAGGCATTCACAAGCATCTCCTGCTCGGGATCAGCATCTCTGGCAGCGAGCACCTGAAATGAGGGGCCCAAAACCTTCCTGAAGCTGGAGATGATGGGATGAAGGGCAGCGAGGGCGGATGGGGCTGTGGGGAGAGGATGGTGCCCCCCATCCTCCTCCGCTCCCCAGCTCCCCCAAACCAGGCTCAGCTTTTCTCCTGTGCACACAGGCGTTTGCCTCCACCATGCTGCTGGAGAAGGGGTCAGATGAATCCCTATGGAAATGTATGGAAAGGGATTCCCTGCCTGGACACTCAAGCAGTTGGGAGCCCAGTGGGAGGAGGGAGCGCGGGACTGCAGGCAGCCGGATTCCTCCCTTACAGCCACATCTCATGGGGGTTATTCCCCCTCAGCGGGGCTGAGCCCACACATTGCCCATGGTCACTCGTGGTCTTCCCCCATGTTGGAGAAGGGGGAAGGCACCAGTGGCTCCTGCTGCGGCTTGGCAAAGGTCGGGATGAGCATCTGAACAGGATGCTTTTTGCCCCGTAAACCACAGGCCCTGGTCAGTTCATGAGGGAAATGAGAGCAGAGCATTTTGATGAGTGAGAAATCCTGGTTTTCCTGGCCCAAAACACACCACAGTTTATGAAATGTACACTGTGTGCAGCAGCAGGATCAAGCCCTTCCCATTCCTTTGGGATGTGGCACAGATGTGGTATTGTCAGTGCAGGGAAAAGGGGTGGGAGATCCAGGGAAAGGGTTCGATGTGGTTTGTGGTGGGAGAGGCTGGGTTTACAGGGAGCCTGTCCATGCAGGGGACCCCTCCAGCAGCATCCCTGAGGAAGAGCCCAGCCAGGACCTGGCAAAACCAGGCCATAGCAGGAGCTGGACCTGAACCCAGAGCTGATGGAGCCGCTGCAGGGAATCGGTGCTGGGTGAGCAGCAGGAGCAGGCACTTCGATGGGATTTATGCCATGCAGCACTTGTCAGCACAGCTTTAGCACCCCATAAAGCAATGGTGAAGGCTGAACCTGAAGGGAGAACACAAGGATGCCCTGACTGGGCAATTAATGAGAGAATTTGGGCTCAGGCCCTGCAAAGCTCCATAAAGGAAAGGCTCAGGGGTGTGTGTGGGGGGGTGAAGCCATGGGGAGGTGTGGAAAATGCAGGAGGAGGCTAGGATGAGGGAAGGGGTGATGCTCTGATGCACTGTGGTAGCCCCATGCAGGCACAGCTAACAACACCTGTGTCCATCCGCAGGCACCCCACAGATGGGGCACCGGGACCCCCAAAAGCAACCACCAGCAGCAAGGACATGAGTGAAGAGCAGCGAGCCATGAGGGTCAGCGGGAGACCTGGCACAAAGCGTGGCTCTTGGTGAGGATGGGTTCAGGCATCCTATGGGAATGGGGTGGGATGTGGGGACCCCACGGGAGCAGGAGCTGGCACGAGGGCGATGTGGCCATCTCCCAGCTGCTGGGACTGGGCTCACCCCAGTTTCTCCCATTAACAGGTGCTGTGAGTGGATGCTGTGGGGTCTGGCTGACTCGGAGAGGCTGCAGAAAGGCCAAGGCTCTGTTGGAAGCATGGGCAGGATCCGTGCGGTGCCCTTCCCATGCCCAGGGTAAGGGTTGGCTCCCTCCTTTCCCATATAACCAGCCCCAAGGCTGGAGCCAGATGTGCCCAGCGGGTCCCCTGCCCCACTGCCAAACGGGGGGCATGGACCACAGGATGACACCTCAGGAAGCTGGAAGGACACAGAGCTGTTGCCGCCAAGCCCAAGGCATGGGGAGAATGAGGTCTGCAGCCCAAGGAAAGGAGGAAAAGCTCCTGTGCATTAAAGGTGTTGCAAGCCCCCGGCCTGGTCTCCCTCGTGCTGCTGGTGTTTGAGCACAGCCTCACCCTTTTCCTTTCAGGACCCCCCAAATCCCTGCGAGACCCCGGTGTCTGAGGCTGTTTCCTTCCTGCTCGTGTCTCACCAGCCCTCTCCTTCCCTGCGGCAGGAGGCGAGGGGTGCCCCGGGGGTCCCAGCCCTGGAGGGGACCATGTCCTGCCCCTGTTGGGCTGGGGGGAGGCAGGAGCTGGGGTTTGGCCAGTGTGGGAACAGGCACCTCTCACCTTACCCTCGCTCCTGCCTCTCCTCATTCCCACCCCACGCCTGAGGACTGGGTCCAGCCCCACTGTGCTGGTCCATGAGGCTCCTGGGGGGGGGGGGGGGTTAAGGGTGGGATAGGGTGGGAAAAACACGGACCCGGGAGGCACAAAGGTGATCCTGGGGAAGCAGACACCAGTCAAACACAGTGTGGGTGCCGTGGGGCTGGGGCCATGGGTGCATGGGAGGGACCTCACCAAAGCCCTGCTCCGAACCCCCTGCACGTGCTCGCCCGCCCGCCACCGGCCCAGACACCCAAATATTGAGCCCTACATTAAATTCCCGGCGGGAAAAGGCTGGGAAGGAGCCGGAGCACGTTTTGGAGGGAGCGTGGCAGTTTGTTATGCTAACTGAGGGGGGCTCCGCTCAGGGGATGTGTCGGAGAGGTCTGAAGAGCAAGGAGTTCACAGGCCCTCTCCTTTTGTCATGCTAAAAGTGCAACACAGAAAATATATACAGGCAGCTGCTCAATGGAGCATGAAATACAAGTGATTTCTCCGGGAGCCCTGGGTAATGCGATGCAGCCCGGACAATGCCCGGCGCCTTTGTGCGGAATGGGAAACTCATAGGGGGGGAATGGGCACAGGCCGGCTCCTGGCATGCAGCTGCCTCCAGCAGCGCCCAGGAGGTGGCAAGGCCCCAAGAGCATCCTTGGCCGTGGTCCTCCGGAGGTGCCCTGGCTGCGGGAATGGCGGGACCATGGTTGTTCCAGCTTGGTGGGTGCCACGCGGATGCCAAGCCCCGGTCCTTCGAGGAAACATCCCCTCTGGTGCACGTGGGGGCTGTGCTGGGCCTGGCACCCCCTCGCCGGGTGTGGGACCGGGGTCCCTGTTCACTGCACAGCCTTCCTGCAGCACCGACAACGCCGTCGCGGCAGCTCCCTTTGCTGATGCTAATTCGGGGCATCGCGGCAGGAGCGGTGTAAAATCAGTCCTCAAAGGGGCTTTTGTGTCCCGGGGGAGGGCGGCCGGGCTGGGGGTGCTCCGAGCATCCATCTTCCACCTTTCCCTCCTTGTTTTGTGTCTGAAAGCCGACGCCATGGGGGCTGCCAGGATCCTGGGGCCCTGCATTCGTTCCAGAGAGGCAGAGGCACTGGTTCAGGCAGACCCACAGCAAGGACTGGGGGGGGTCTGAGGGTCCGGGGGGGGGGGCAAGATACAGGCAGTGGAGGTGATGGAGAGGGCTGCTTCCCTGATCCCGGCTTGGCAAGGAGCTGGGGGCACTCGGCAGCAAGGACCGGGAAGCTCTCAGGGAACTGCAGGGGTTTTTCAGCATCACAGCCTGAGTTCAACCCCCGTTTGGCTCCTGGCTGGAGCTGGCATGAGGGACACCATGGGGGGTGCTTGCCCAGGCTGCACTGGGGGCCCCTGGCAGCGGAAGGGACGTGGTACCCCAAGTCTGGGTACCCCAACTCAGGGGAATGCTCGGGGCACGGGCGGAAGCGACATCTAGTGGGAAGCGCATCCCGTCACCTGGGAGATGGATATCCATGGCAACCCCTCGGGGCCACCAGCACCCTGCCTGGACCAGGGCCCCCACCAGCACCCGCAGAGCCCCCCATCAGTGTGAGCTGCTCACAGGGCTGCCACAGCCCTAAGTAGCCCTGAGCTCAGCCAAAATGCCTGCACCCCCCCCCGAAGTGATGTGGGTGTCAGGATGAGCTGCACCCAGTGGCCTCTGCCCTGACCTGGTCCATCTCCAGCTCCTCCAGTGCTCGCAGGGAGATGCATCAACGGGGGGATACAAGTAGGAGAGAAGCTGGTTACTCTCACAAAGAAGATGTGGGCAAAAGGACATGACAAGAGAGATGGCTACAGCCTGCCCCATGGCAACGTGCAAGAGGATGGGCCTGGTTCAGCCAGTCCTGGGCCCAGGGTAGAGGAGGATGGAGAGACCACAGGGATCGAGCTGCTGACACCCAAACCCCTGTGCTCTCCTTTGCCCCTAGATGCAATGCCCGGGCGCTGCGTGCAGGGATGTGTGCCATAGAGCCCCAGCCCCATAGGGCCCTTCAGATGCAAACCAACCCCACGTGTGTGCACATCTACACGGAGGGGTTGTATTAAGGTTGTGGCAGTGGGGAGCTACAGGGGTGGCTTATGATAGGGCCAGTGCAGCCAGCTCCAAGAAGTACCCGTCACTGGCCAAGCCTAACAGTGATGGTGGCAGCACCTCTGGGATAACAGAGTTAAGATGAAAACGTGGAAAATGAAAGTGAGAACATGTGAGAGAAGCAGCCCTGTGGACGGGAGCAGAGGAGTGTGAGGAGCCTTCCCCTGAGGAGGAAGGAGCATCAGAGCCAGCGTGTGATGAATTGATCACAAACCCCGCTCCCTGTCCCTCTGCATAGATTTTGGGAGCGAAGTTGAGCCAGGGAAGGAGGGAAGGATGAGGAGAAGGTGTCTTAAGATTTGCTTTTGTTTCTCATTATCCTCCTCTGTAAATTAAACTGATTTGCCCGAGCCGAGTCTGTTTTCCCCATGACGGTGACTGCTGAGTGCCCTTAGCTAGACCCGGGAGCCGAGCCTTGTATTTTGTCTCCCGTGCCCAGCTAAGGAGGAGGCTGACGCAGCGGGTTTGGAGGCGCACAGGGCGTTTAGACCGTACTTTATATACGATACCGTGTGTACGATGCACGGATATGATTTATGACAACCCCCGGCGGGGAGGCCCCGCTGGGGCAGCGCAGCCGGGACTCGAACCCGCGGTCCCGGGGCCCTGCGGGGACCACAGCTCCCAGGAGGCAGCGCCGGCGGAACCGGGCTCCGCGGAGTGCCCGCCCCCCCTCCGGTTCTGCCTTTCCATTGGTCTATCAGCTGTCAATCAGAGGGAGAGCGGCCGCCGATTGGCCTGCGGGGGGCGGAGGCGGTGGCGGGCAGGCTTCCTGCGGCCGCCTTTGCGCTGACCCAGGCATGGTGAGAGCGGGGCCGGGGGGAGCGCGCCCGGGGCTGGGACCGGCGCTGGGGGAGGCGGACCCGAGGGGGGGCCCGGTGCCGGGTCAAGCCGTGCGGGTGTGCCCGGGCAGGCGGTGATGGGGGTGCAGGTGGTGGTGACCCTGCTGGCCGCCAGCCTCATGCAGAAGATGGCCCCGCACTGGTCCTTCGCTCGCTGGCTGCTCTGCAGCGGCAGGTGCGTGGCGCGCCCGTCCCGTCCATCCCTCCCTGCTCCTCAGCCGGGGGCCCCCGCTGACTCCCGTTGCTGCCTTCCAGTCTGCACCGGTACAAGCACCCCTCGGATGAGGAGCTCTGCGCCCTGGCAGGGAAGCAGCGCCCCAAGGCCAAGCGGGACAGGTCAGTGCAGCTCCCGGCTCTGCCGGGCACAGGGGCTCACAACAACTCCCATCAGTTGTGGTGGCGATGGAAGTCACCCCCGTGCTGCGGGGGTCCCCGGGCAGCGACAGCCTCTTGTGGGGTTGGGGCTAGTGACAAGGAGCCCCGAGCTGGGGATGTGCCAGTGCACAGCAGGCTTTCGGCACGGTGGGACACAAGGGACAAGCCAGCTCCTTGGTGGCCTGGGTTTCCCTTGCAGGAGGATGAACGGCGTGATGGAGGACAAACCCCTCTCCGTGCCCCGGGACATCGACCTCCGCCTGGACACCAGCCCCATCACTGCTGTGGATGCTCTTGGTAACCCCCCCATGCCCCCACTGCTCCCCCTGCATTGCCCTGGGCACGGGACCCGCTGCGGGTCCCCGCAGCACGGTGACGTGTCCCTCTGCCCACAGTGCTGCGTTATTTCCTGGACTACCAGTGGTTTGTGGACTTTGCTGTGTACTCCACCGCCGTGTACGCCTTCACCGAGGGCTACTACTGCCTGGTGGACCCCCAGAAGGAGATGAACATCGGGGTGCTCTGGTCCCTGCTGACGGTTGTCTTCTCCATGTATCCTTGTTGTGACTTTTGGGGTGTGTTTGTCACCACCCACCAGCTCCAGGCTGCTGGTGGCAGGAGAGGGAACTCGCCAGCCTCGGCTTTTCCCCATTAAAAGCCGGTTGAGATGGAAAACTTCAGTGTATGGATTTACAAAGCACGCAGTGAGGAGCTGTAAAGGTGCCCAATGAGAACCTTCCCGCAGGGAAGGTGGCACTGGCCTAACGATGCGGATGCTCTATGATGCGCTAATGAGCAGGGGGGTCCTGCTGGTGTTGGTCCTGAAGCTCCTGGTTTCCTTGACATCCTCCCCTCACGCGCAGCAAGGTCTTCTTCATGGTGATGCGCCATTACTTCCGCTCAGAGGAGGGGGGCGAGCGCTCCGTCTGCCTCACCTTTGCCTTCTTCTTCCTCCTCCTCGCCATGGTGGCCCTGGTCATCCGTGAGGACTACCTGGAGTTCGGCCTGGAGCCCGGTGGGTGAGGGGGGCCGGGGAGAGGCGGGCAGGCAGTGCGGGGCTGGGGGCACCCCACTCATGGGGGTCACTCCCTGCAGCGCTGGCTGGAGTCAGCACCAACCTGGAGAGCATCCTGAAGCAGCAGGGCTGGGAGTGGACGTGAGTTGATGGGGAAATGGGGTTTCCCGGAGGTTATTTGGAGGTTCTGGGGTGGGAGCCCGTCCAGGGGTCACTGGGGATGGGGCCAACCCGTCCCCTCCTGCATTACCCCCTCCCTCTGCAGACTGCCCATCGCCAAGCTGGCCTTCAAGCTGGGGCTGGTGGCCCTGTGCTCCTTCCTGGGCGCCTGCCTGACCTTCCCAGGGCTGCGCCTGGCCCAGAC